AAAAACGTAAATTATTAAAAGCAGCCAAAACTCAATGGCTTTCGCACAGCAATGCAGCTAATAGAATTGTATCTTGTTTTGAGTCAATTATTGATTCACTTGATGCCATCATATTACAAAACAAAGAATCGACAGATAATGGCATAAGAAAACAGTTTCTAGAACCTAAACATGTCTTGTTCATGCTTCTTTTGGCTGATATTCTTCATAATGTAAACAGGCTGCCTACATTTCTTCAAACTCAAAACCTTCAATTTAGTAGTGTCAACCGTAAAGTACAACAGCTACAAGTGGTTATCCAGTCTATAAATGACAATGATGGGCCGCTTTTTAAAGAAAATGCTATTAATTTCTTAAAAATAATTTCGGAAAGACTTAGGACGCAGTATAAGAGGAAACAATTTAATAAGTGATCAAGAAAATTTTTTTGCACGAGTCAATCGGTTTAAGGAAATAATCAAAAAGCCCTTCATTGAGGATTTTCAGAAATAATCAGTGTCACTCTTAAATTGGACAACGAAGTTATTCTATCGTTTGATGTTTTTAACATTCAGACCAATTTTAGCGAAGCTGAAATTATTGATCACATGGAAACACTTAAAAAATTTTATGGTACTGGTAAAAATTCAATTTTTAATGGCTAAACAATATCAGCAGCAGCTTTAGTTGAATTTGACCACAATTATGACCAAGAAATGATACGTTACTTTATATCAGATTTTCAAAAAGCGATGGAGTTACTAAACGAAAAAAAAATTAAAACTGTAGCCAATAAAGTTCGATCTGGGGAGTTGAAAAGCAAAGATATTGAAACATATCATGAAAAACATCCGATTACTTCATCTGAAGTTTAAGCTGAGTTTTATAAAAATAAAAACCAATATCCTTCAATCATGAAGCTTTTTAAGTTGTAATTACTTATCACTTTAAGTGTTGCTAATGTTGAGCGTGGATTTTCTGCTCTTAATCTGCTTCACACCAAGCAGAGAAATTCTTTATCAGTATCGTATTTAGATAAGTTGATGCGTTTGTTGTTAATGGGTCCTGATAAATTAAGTATTGAAACATGGGAATCAATCATCGATAAATTTCGAGACAGTACTGAAAAAAGTATTCCCTTATAAATGATACATTAGTAACAGCCCTCCTCCATGGAGCCTGGTATGGAGGCTTCCATATCAAAGAGGTTGGGGAGAGGAAAAAACTTGTATAAACGGTAGCACCCAAACTAACGCTCAGTACAGCACTGAGCTTCCCATTTACCCAACATTCCGAAGGTATAGCATTAAATTTATAATTGTCCAAATAAATTACTTTTGTCATTATTTTCTCTGCTTTTACAATGTGACCTGTGGCATTCTGACCAAAAAATCCCCACACCTTAATACTTAACACAATGTTTCTCAGTTGATAATGCTGTTTTATCAAATACATTCAATTACTTTTCTTTGAACAACCAATCTTCTCTTGAAACTACAGATTAAAAACTGGACACGTTGGTTCATGTTTCCAGTTATTAATGGTCCTTTTTTATATAGTTTTGCCCACTTAAGCCTTTTTATTATTCTTAGGATTTTTATCAAAGAATTTTAATTAAAATACTTTTACATGTATTAAATTATATAATAATGAAAAATTTAACATTAAAAAATTAATAAATCACACATTGAATTTATTTTCATTGGGTTACAAAGAATTTATAAATCAATTTTTCAAGCCCTTTTGCTTGCAAATTCATCATTTCACCAACATTTTCTATCAACAATATTGCTAATCCTGAAAGTCTTTCCTATAACATTGCAGACCGTAGATAATTTTTAAATAACTTTAGTCTTGAAAATGATCATTCACAATAAGCAGCAGGAATAGGTATTGTCAAAATCTTTGATATATGATACATACATCAGGCTTGGTCGGGAAGCGGGAGCGATCGCTCTCGAATACTGACCACGGAAATTATATTTAGTTGCGTAAAACTGGCCAGGTTTTTTAGTCGTTTTGAGAACATTTAAGTTTATGTACGAAACAAAAAATTTTTGTTTTACGAACATACATGGAAACATAAAAAACTTGAATGTTCTCAAAACATCTTTGAGCCCAAGAATAAAAAGAATATTTGCGAACACTAAAAACACGCCAAATTAACGAACAAACTAATTCTATTGGTTCAAAAAATATGCTGATTAAGCGAAATAAAGTTCTAGAGTATTCTGATGAATTTGTATTATTCACGATTTTTTACGCTTTGAGATTTCTAGGATAAATTGTTTTAAAAATATTTATTATTTGTTTACAAAAATAAATGTTTTAAATATATATTAAGTTGTCAAAATTTTAAAAGTTTATTATAAATCATAGATTTTATTAGTATATTCTTATTTTTTATTTTAAAAGAGATTGTATTCTTTATGTAAATGTAATTTTGTGTATTTGTTTTTTATCGTAATGTATCTTTTAAAGCAATTTTCATGATTTAAACAAAGACTTACAAAAATAATTGCATTTTCAATAAAGTTATAATCGTTAAAGTTAATAAAACTAATTATGTAACAAACATATAAGAAGTTTCTGGTTACTAAACACAAACAACGCATACAAAGTAACTCGCGGATGAACAAGCATCGCGCCTGAGGTCACGACAGAACACAAATATATATAGCAAATAATTAGATTTAAAGAAAAGTTTCTAGATATAGGTTTACTAACTCTAATTATTTTCGCTTAAATTGCCATTCTTAAAACTCGTTATACTTTTTGCTGGTTTAAATACAAATTAAAATTAAAAAACCCACTCACTAAACATCATCAGCAATAATGTGAAGCAGTTTCACTTCCTGGTCATTAAATATTTTTAACCTTTTTAGTTGATTTCTATCTTGATAATTTAATTCCTATAGTAATTCAATGATTTAATTATTTCATTTGTTTATCTTACTAAGAAGAATCGCTTTAAATATGTTAAACTTTTCAAACTACGCGAAACATAAAATAGGTATTAAAAAAATTAACTTTTTTATTTATAAAATAAATTAAGCTTAAGTAAAACTAAAACTTGCAAACTTAGTTAAATAAAGAATATTTGTTTCCCTTTTAAACAATCGTAAGTTGTTACTTTATATAAAAAACATCGCTTAATTTTATAAAAAAAATTGTAAAAGAGCGATGTTTCGAAAATATTTGTTCTAAATGTAATTTATTTAGCTTCTATTTTTTTGCGTTTAAAGATATTTTATTTGCCTATTTTTTTTTTATTTTTTTTGTAACCATCTCTCATCGGTCCAATTAATCTTTGTCGCTTTTTTTTTTTTTTTTGCTTTTTAAAATGTTCTCAAAACGGCTAAAAAATCTGGCCAGCTTTTCGCAACTAAATATTATTTACGTGGTCAGCAATCATGAGCGATCGCTCCCGCTTCCCGACCAAGCCTGATACATTTGTATATGATTCTTCAAAAATCTTTTCTAAAATGAACTCTAAATTCTCTATAATAGTATAATTATCTCATAAATAATCTATATATATAAAACAAATATCTTAAAATAGAAAGTTTATTTTTAAATTCCACCTCTCTGACCTTAAACGTGTTTAAATATATTTTTACATTTTGTATTGAATTCATTTGCATTCATAGTTAATTCAAAGAAAACCAAAAACTTGATTTAAAGAATTAGTAGTATTGCTCGGCACATTCAGATTAATTTTTTACTTCAACAGCTTATCACTTTGTTGATGCAGCAAAGATCTCATATAAATTATTTAATTTAGTAAAATATTTCTGACTTTTTCACTATCATTTATAACTAAATTGATGTTGTGTCCACCACACAACATATCATGCTTTCATATTGCTTGCGTCATTAATGACTGACCTCAGCAATCAGCACTTTGATCTTGCTATTGATGTAGCCAATTTTTTTGTCAGGGCGATGTATTTGTGTTGTTGTTTTTTGTGGTAAGCATGATTCTTTATCCCTCATTAGAATTTTAATTTGAAGAGTTATCCTATAAGGATGGCACTCATTTTAACAGATTGCAGAAGGCAACATTTATTAATCATTTCATTAAATACTTACTAAAAAAAGAAACAATTGAATCAACATTATTATGATTTTGAAAGAATGTTGACCAGATAATAAATAAAAATAAATAAATATAATAATAATAAATAAACTATAAATAAATTTTCGCAGATGTGCCTTAGCACTGAATTTTTTTATAGAAATCTTCTACAATTTGGCATCACCTTAACAGAACCCAGCAAAATTGTGCAGTGATCAGCGCAGCCTAGAGGGCAGAACTTTTTTGCTGTTATACAGTTGGGGTACACTAGTGGTAATGATATCAAGAGTGTTAGACCCATGTGTGGAAAACAAGTTGACTAAGCATATCAGATATAAGAAAATTGTTTTAATACTTTTGGAAATCTATGTTCCCACACAGTATAAGTCTCTCAAATTTACCAAGATTTTGATCAACAAGAGCTTGTAACAGTTTTAATGCTTTTAGATGGATATAGTAAATGCCCCAATATGGGTGACAAACTGCAATAAGATTCAAGTTATATGGATTAAATCTGTTAGAATGCAAAAAACACAGCAAAACTTGGCTATTTGAAAAAAAATTATAACAAATACAGCTTTTGCGATATTGTATTTTTTCTTAGTTAGTTATAGTTCATTTCTAAATCCATTCGTTCTTTTCACTGCATTATATCTAATTTTAATTTATTTGATTTTTTTTTTGTTTTTGTTTTAACTTTCAAATTTTTTAACAACTATACATAATATTCACAAAGTTATTTTCACATTAAGTGTGCACATAAAACTATTTATCATAACTTAAAGAAAACCCAAATAGTTGTTATTTGTTACTTTCCCAATTAGCTGTTGTTAGTAATTTAAACCTTATTAAATGACAAATAACAAATCTAGTTTAAATTTAAGTTTTAATTAAATATTAATCTTTTAAAAAACAATAAAATAGTATAAAAAAGTAGTATTACCATTGTTAGTTAATCTCAATCTACTAAATCCACCTGATTCACATTTAAGCCAAATAGCATTTAAGAACCTATTTTGCACATTGCCAAAAATTTTTGCACAATTGCCATTCAAATCTTTGATTAAAAACATGTCATGACTTTCAACTGTTTGAAACATCAAATTTGTTGTTGCACAGTTAGAAGTAAGAATGAAAGTTGATTCTGAATTGATACTCAAACATAAACCTAACAAAAAATAAAATAATTCACATAACCTTAGCTTTTTTTTGTTAAATAATGGTAGAAGAAGAAATTGCTGCACTATTGGTGAAATAAGTTCCAAAACTAGTGTTTTGGATAGAATCTAGAAACAAAAAGCTCATTGCCTAGAAACAATATGCTCATTGACCATGTCAAACTGAGAGGTGTAGCTTTGATAAAAAAATGTGGCTTTTATGAAAATTTTAATTCTCTTTACATTAATTTATAATGTATCAAAACCACTACTTTGTAGTTTTGACAGTTAACCACTAAATTCTATCAACAACAAAAAAAAAGAAAATAGTATTTTGTGATTGTACTTGTGTATAAATCGAATGCATTGGAATAGCAACTGGAATTTATGTCTTAATAGGTGGGTTTCTTAGTAATGTGTTATAACAATAACACATATTAGAAAGTAATGACACGTATTAGATATTGCAATAACACATAATAATAACACATATTACACATTGCAATAACACATATTTAAACATAGTAATAACACATACAACACATAATAACACAAACTACACATAATAATAACACGTATTACACATAATAACACATATTACACATAATAATAACACATACTTTATTTTATTCACTTTATCTCATAACTTAAAACAGTTATGAGATAAAGTAAATAAAAACATTCTTTTAAAAATGGCTTTATTTTGCTTTCTTTGAAAAGTATGTATATACTTTTGGTGCCTCAATAAAAATTTTCTTTCCCTTAATGCAAAAGTAACAAAGCAATCTTTATGTGTTCTTTTTGACAGCTTGGGAGTACCACAGGAATAATATATAATATATAAGCAACATTAGGGTCAGCATAACCCCTGTTTAAACATGAGTAATCTTATTTTAACTGTTAAAAACCCAATCCCTATCCCCAAACCCTATCCATATCCCCTATCCGTATCCCCAAACCCCATCCCCCACTTAATTTTCATCAAATGCAAAATGGGGCTTCCTAATTAACTATAAAATAAGTAATTGGATTAGTTAATTAGGAAGCACTAAATTAGGCCTTCCTAATTAACTAATCCAGTTTACTTCCAGTGTAATATAGTAGCAGGGTGGCCTCATAAAACTTTTATTAGAAAAATAGGATATTAGAGGATTTTAGAGGAGATTTTGCATTTAATTTAGAGGATTTTTTTCGCAAAACTACAAATTTTGAATAAAAATAGAAGATTTTAGAGGATTTTTTTTATAGGTTTAAGTTTCCATATAACTGAGGTTTGGACAGGGGTCAACAATGTCATTTTTTATGTTAGATAACATGGATTTGCTAAAATTAATTTTTTAAGACCCTATCCGCATTTTAGACATTAACCAGTTTTGCAGACCATGAATTTTGAACATTATGATACCATCAAGAAATGAAAAAATAAAAAAGAGGAGTTAAAGAGGAGATTTTATCACATTTTCGACATTTTTGAGGATTTTGGAAGAGGGTTTTGAAAAAAGAGGACTTTAGAGGATTTTAGAGGAGCTGTGGCCACCCTGAGTAGTGATTCACACATGCACATAAAAGTTATTGCACTTTATTTTTATACAAAAATGTAATTTTTGGAACATTGCTATTTACTTTACAAAAGAAATACTAGTTCTTATGAAAAAAAAATTTATAAAGATTTCAATCACAATTGATTTACTCTTTGCTGCTAATTTTTTTTTTAACTGTTGCAATTTTTAGGATTAGTAGGCCATTTTTTGGGGTTAGTTGACAAATTTTTACAAAAATTCTCTGTAAAAAACTTAATTTTTAAATGTAAAATATAACTTTTTCAATATTTTTACTAAATTATAAAAAAAATGAGTTAAAAAAATATTTTATCATTGTAAATAATAATAGCCAACTATTATTATTATTTACAATGGCTATTATTATTTATAATGGAAAAATATTTTTTTAATTCATTTTTTTTATTATTTAGTAAAAATATTGAAAAAGTTATATTTTACATTTAAAAAATAAATTTTTTACAGAGAATTTTTTTACCTGGAAACAAAGTGGACTATCCTCTTGGCTTAATAAGTGAACAATTATTTAATACGAGCTTATAGGAATAATTTGTTTTTGCTTAAAATTATTAACAAAATAAAATTTTTACAATTCTATAAATTTTGCACTAAATGATACATTTTTATAGCTTGGGTCTTTTCTGTTGAAAAATAAACACCTGAAAGATAAACACCTAATTTTGTATGCTTTATCGTTGGGTCTTTTTGGATATTCTGTTTGGTCACAAACTATTTTTTTAAATATAACACTTAGATATGATTACCAATTTTACATTCTTTTGAACTGCAGTTTGATATTTTCAAATAAAATTTACTTAAAAGTCACAAAGCTCAAAAATTAAAAATGTAGCCAACTAGCCCAGGTCTCCCCTATAAATTATAGTAAATTGAAAATACATTAGACATAATTTAAAATTATAAAGATAAACACCTGATTTTGTATGCTGCACTTTATCGTTGCTAAAAGTAAACATGTATTTATCGCCAGCACAATTTGAATTCATTTTCAATAAATGTTCTTCTTTATTACCAATAATGTCTGAATATATGCACTGCTGGTCTGTATTTTGGATTAAGTATGAAGAAAAAACTAAAAAAAGGAAAATTCAAAAATTTAGATTTTGCTAATGTACCAAAAAAACTTTCAATCAGATTATTATTAACAATAAAACTATTATATAATATAATAAAAAAACTATTTTAAACTTTACTGTTAATTCACTGTATACCATTTAAACAACCATACAGTTCAACTCTCATGCATAATTTATGCTCTGACATATCATCATTCCAAGCAGATGGGTTCACTCTAACAAACCTAGCTTGAATAGTAGGTAAAAACCAGTGTGTGACCACAGAGTTTGAATTAATGTTTCCTTCTAAAATCTAAATATGAATCACAGCATCATTGTTTCTTTAATATATACATACATACATACATACATACATACATACATACATACATACATACATACATACATACATACATACATACATACATACATACATACATACATACATACATACATACATACATACATACATACATACATAGATATATATATATATATATATATATATATATATATATATATATATATATATATATATATATATATATATATATATATATATATATATATATACAGTAGTAGAAAATCACTCAGCAAAATTTTTTTTTTTTGCTAAGTGATTTTCTACTACTTTATAATTGCTCTGTTCTTTAAAGAACATTGAGCACTCTATTTTGTAGGATACATAATAGTAATATACTCCATTTTGTAGGATACATATATATATATATATATATATATATATATATATATATATATATATATATATATATATATATATATATATATATATATATATATATATATATATATATATATATATATATAGTAATATACTCTATTTTGTAGGATACATATATATATATATATATATATATATATATATATACACTTACTAAAGCATGTTTTTATAAGCAGTTGCTCACTTTTTTTGCTTACCTTAACCCATACAGCTTTTTTAGAAAAAGAAGAAAAAAAACGAAGAATGATGAATGAAACGATTGCTGCCCCATTCCAAACCCTCAGTCGATGTAGCAGCACTCCACTGCGAGTCAGGCTATTTGTCAGTCGATGTATGTACTGAAGCCCCCAGCAGCAGGCTTTTTCAGTATGACGTCAGATTGCTTACTCTCGGAATTAGAAAAAATGAGGTCGGCAATAATTTGCTGACCTTAATCTTTTTGAGGTTGGCATCAGGTTGGCAAAAATTATTTGATACAAAGATTTGACCATAAAATATAGAAATGAGGTCGGCAATTTTTTGCCAACCTCAAACACTTTCAGGTCGGCATTGCCGAATGCCGATCTTAATTCTAAGGGTTCTAAGGGTAAAGGGTTAATTCTAATGCAAAAATTCTAATGATAGTCCAGTTTAGCTACAGTGTTTAAAAGAAAATTTCTAAATCTAACAACTTTAATAACCGCATAACATTTAATATTCAACAGTCAATCAATAACATAAGCTTTAAAAATCACATAACATAACCTTCAATAATAAAACAACAAAATCTTTAACAATAACACAAAATAAGCTTTCATAATTACAACACATAAGATTTATAAGGCATAGAACATGAACTTTAATAGACATAAACATAAACTTTATAAAAAGTCCTGAAGATCAAAAAAATCTTCATGTAAAATACAAACATAAGTTTTTTTAAATAAAATGTATGAAGGTAAAAGAAAAATAACTTTAAAAAAATTTCAAAAACTTTATAAAAAAAAAACTTTTTTAACCTTATCTTCACCAAATTCTTTATAGACTTGATACTCTTCATCATCTTTTGAGTAAAACAATTTGTAGGACGTTATCCAGTTAGACCTATCCGGATGACCTTGTGTTGAAATCCCTGTAACTACAGTTAACTAAAAAAAAGTATATTTAAATATTGCTTTTAAATTATTACGCTTTAAAAAAAAATTTAATATAATTAATTTTAAATTCTCATAATTATAAAATATGACATAAAATAACTAAAATTAATTAATTCTAAAATTTTACTAAAAAAAAAAGGTTGAAAAAAAATATGCTTGTTTAATATAATATATATTTTCTTTATAATAATGGTAAAATGATTATTTTCCTATAATAATGGTTACCTTAACAAGATCAATTTGAAGATACGATAAGACATCGTTACTACCACTACACCATCCATTTGGTAAATTTAAACGTCCATAGTGTGGTGCAAATGATTGTCCTGCGTTTGATGAAGCAGTAATATGTTGATTTAATATCTTGTTGCTCTGCATGCCAATAGGACGTGTGCAAGCTGAAACATAATTTAGAAAATCAAAAAGAAAATAAATGCAAAAATATTTACTACAAAACATAATAAATATAAAAAAATTAAAAGATAATGTTTCGAAAATGATACTATTCAACTAATATCACCTAAAAAGGGTTGCCTGTCGCTATCAATAAAATCAAGTTCCAAAGAAGTTTTTATATCACATTTTCCACATTGAGTGTTACATTCATTTAGCATGATAATTTGCTTTGAACTCTATATACAATAAGAACTAATGTTAAAATACAATTAATTAAACATCTAAACAAATAAAAAGAAAAAAATTTAGATTGGTATTTTAAATTTAGGTTTGTACTTAAATAAAAAAAGGTTAATAAAGATGGAAGCTTAAAACTGCATTTCAAAGTAAAAACTATAAAATTGCAATAAGAATAACTTTCAACAAATACATCAACTAATGGTTTGAATTTAGGCAAGCAATATCTATGTATAAAGAAAATTATATAAAAGTATAAAAGAAAATATTTCCATTATTTTGTACTATTGTATAAAGTAATGTAGTTGTTTACAATTTAAAAACCTACCTTGAAATAAAAAGGTGTCCCACGTAAATCAGAAGAAGATCTTCCAGACAAACATTGTTTATCACCACATATAGAAGGTTGACCGAAAAAAAAACTAGGATTTGTACTAAATGTTGTATCTGTGGTGCTTAAAGTCAGATTGTTTAAAAACAAACGCACACGAGTAAAATTAGAATGTAAAGCAGTTAGATGTTCGATCATTTCTTTTAATCCTAAAAACATATATATTTTTTCAAGCAAAAGCTTTTCTAAACATCATTATACGCAAGAGAACTTATAAATTACAACACACATAAACTAGTATTACACAGAAAACCTAGAAGAGTTTTAAGAGATATAAATATCAAGTTAAGCCATATTTTTATGTCAAAAATTAAATATTTTCACCATTTTTTAATAATATAGACGGAAAATATCTACAAAAAAAATATATTTATATAAATGAGATTTTCACTATTTCATAAATAAGTTCTGAAAGAATTTTTTTTTAAATGAGAAAAAACAAAGCTAGAATTTATTGTCTTATTTCAATTAATTTATAATAATAATAAAATTTTAATATATTTTTTTTTAATATTTTAACAATTGGTAATTTGGTCAGCAATATCTCAAGTTCAATTTATATAAGCATTTTTTTACCTTGGTCAGTCACAGAATCACATTGCTTTGAAACTTCTACATAATTTTGTTTTTCACCAGAGGGAAGTGTTAAATACTCCTTTGGTTCAGTAGAACTCATTTTGTGACAGTAGACCACTACTTCAGTTGTAGATTTATCTTTTCTAAAAACTGTCATTGGATAATCCCCATCCAAAACAGCATTTCTTAGCTTGCTGACACTTAAGCAATCGACTAAAATTGTATATGTATATATATATATATATATATATATATATATATATATATATAAGCAAAGCAACATTTTATAATAAGATAATGATGAAAAATATTGTCACTCAAACCGAAGTCTGATTATAGAAGTGACCATTATAATCATCATATAATATAATATCATCAACCAAGTAGTAAAAAATCAATTTTGCTACAATTTGTCTAGTAGAAGTTATTTTTTTTTATTTTTGAAGTTTATTATAGTATTTTAAAATGTTTTAATAATTTTAAGAGGAAAAAAAATTGAAGAAAAAAGAAAAAAATGTTCAACATTCTAATTAGATATAAAAAATCAAAATACTATTGATGCTCTGAAGGAAACAAAAACTGGCTACTTTATTCTTTTTCATTCTTTACCAATGGTAAACACAAAAATTTTTAGTCTTCTCAATAATACTAAACCAGAACCCAGAAATGGCTTTGACACCTTTTTCTCTCCTTTGACATCATTGAGAATCTAGTACAACCAAATTGTCAATAGAAGAAGTTTATTTTTTTCTGAGGCTTAATTTTTATATGAATAAAATTCACTTATGCAGAGAAACTCTGAGTTTATTCAGATAACAGTCTCATTAAAGAAGAAAATAACAGGGAAGTAATTTCAGACAAAAAGTGCTGGAATAGAAAAACTGTCAAAAGATTATTACATGCAAAAAACGTTTTTTGACAATTTAGTCTTGTAGAAGTGGATAACAGAACACAAACAATGTATGAAGTACCACTCAGTAATATTACTGAATTTGTTTATCACTTCTAAAAAAAAAAAAATTCTTGACATCTGTTTAAATTCTTTTAACCATGTATTTACTCTCTTGACTAAATAAACTCTTAGTTTCTGATTTTTTTGCTAATCTTTTTTTTTATTATTGTTTTTAATAAAGAGAAAATTTAGTAGCCTGGGCAAAAGTTATAATTAGGTAATAGTTATGAAAATGCTGAATAAAAAACCATATAGTTTCTAAACAGTGTATATTTGCAATATACACTGTTTAGAAACAATGCAATGCCAGCTCATTAATTACATTAAGTTCTTTTGCATACTGCTCCATTATATAAACTTGAAAAGTCACTTATCTGAAATCTCTGAAACTTTCAGAAAACCATTTAAATATTGTTTTATCCCAACTCTTCTAAAAAGCTGAAAAACTATTTGGAACACATTAATTCAATAAAAAATTTTCCGTTAAAAATGCTGCAAATAGGAAAAAATGTTTAAGCCTAAACATTGTTTAACATGTTTTTTTTGCTACATCAGATTTCTTTCCAAAAGTGGTATGATAATAGGTACACATTCCTTGACTTATCAGAATTATTGGTCAAAAACTTAAATTTTCTCAAGATGTTAATCTAACAAATATTACTTAAGGTAGAAGTGATACAAACTTTTTTTAACGTTTATAAACGTTTTTGCACCTTGCCTAAAAATGAAAGGGCATCATTTGAAGATTCGCTCTAATTTTGCAAAGATACTAATTTTGTAATGGATTTGATATATGGTTTCCTTGACGGATTGGAAGTAAGAGCTAACCTAGAAGACAAGCCACTGAAAGCCTCATGCTGTAGCAGAAGTGAGATCCTTTTCAAGCTCAAATGCCCCTCCAAGCAACAAGAGAGTGTTGGCTTCTTATTAAGACAAGAATAAATGGTAGTATAATCAGTGAACAATACCACCATGGATGTGAGAATTTATGAGAGATCGATAAAGGAAATTTTAAAAAGTATAGGGCCAAAGATAGAACCTTGAGGAACCCCTGAAGTTAGAGGAAATGAAGAAGAGTGCATTCCATCAAGGACAACTTTGATACTATAATTAGTGATTTAATAATCTTAAAGATGTTACCTGATACACCATAAGAAGAGAGCTTATGAATAAGACCAGCATGCCAAACTTCATCAAAGGGTTTAGAGATGTTGAGAGTGATAGCCTTAACCTATTCACAGCTATCTAATGCACAATAAAATATCAGCTATTACTGTTAACAAATCAGCAGTAGAACGAGAAGATCAAAATTCACATTGATGATCAGAAAGTAAGTTATTGGATTCAAGATAAGAGATTAAATGTTTGTTAATTAAAGACTCAAAAACCTTGCTTATGATAGGAAGAAGACTGAGATGATAGTTAGACCAGTCAGATTGCTCTACAAAATATTTGTAAATAGGGATAACTGATGCCACTTTCCAGCAGGCTGAAAAATGAGACTCTGATAAGCGCTTGTTAAATAGTTTTGAAAATATAGATAGCTCCGGAGAGAACTTTTCCTTCTCAAGATTACAACAGGTATGATGTCCGGACCACAAGATGTAGAAGAGTCTAAGCAGGAAATCATTTTAGATACAGAAGCTGGAGCGGTATGAATGTCAAGTAATGGATCAACCTGTTTGTCGGCTAGACATCAGGTAGGATGTGATTTGTGGAATCAACAGATGAGATTGATAAAAAGTTCTTAACAAACAATTCAGCTTTGTGTTGAGGTGAGGTACAAAATTTGAACCATACAAGAGAAGAGGAATAACAGATTTGCTCTTATTATAGACACTCCAGAAGTCTCTGGAGCCTAATTTTTCAGCTGAATAAAATGCGCTTGAATAAATTATCAAGCCTGTAGATTGCAGCGTATATTATGCTGACATTTTGGCCTACAACAAAACAGAGAAGCGAGCCTCAATTAAAAAAAAAGTTTATTTTTCTTGGTATGCATTTATTCTTTTATTTTAATCAAAAGAATTAACTAAAAGCAACTAAAACACAAAAAAAAAATGAAACTCACTTAAAACTGAAAAATTTAAAACTCAAGGGAAAACTTTTTAACTATGTTTATAGTAACTTACTAATAATGATTATTTACAATTATACTATTTGCAAAATACTATATACATTATTGATCACACACTATTACTGACTAAGTCTAAAAAACATTAGAATAGATCAAAGTTTCGAAGTTATCAATTTTTAATGTAAATAAAAAAATTTTTAAGCACATTTTTAAATGCTAAAGTTTCCAATAAATGATAACAGCTGTTGTCAAATTTAAAACAAAATACTACATATATATAGTGATTTCGCCGGTTATCCGTTTCAAAAACTGGATAACAGTTCTCATCAATTTGCAGTTAACCGACTATTCGGTTAATTAGTGACGTTTTCTGAATACAGGATCTTCTATATTTCAACGAACGTAGCGTTTTTAACTAATTTTTTAAAAATTAATGTTAAAGTGTACATTTTCAAGACAGTTAGTGAATACAGTCCTATATTATATATTTATAACAAAACATGGAAAAAGATATATTTTTTTTATATTATAATATAATATACCTTTTTAATTATATAATTAAAAAAGGTAGGAATAATGTACAAGTATAGTTTAAATGTTTTAATATCAGCGGATATTTTAAAATCACTCTTTCATATAAAAATATTTGATTTGGAAAAATGAGATGTTATGAAGTAAATTTTTTTAGCGTGTATTTTAAAAACTTATTGTTATGCGGACATAGATGGAAACCTAGATAAACTTGAATGTTCTCAAAACAACTTGTTGCGTAAAGATGATATAAAGAATATTTGCTAACACTAAAATACCACCAAATCTACGAATAAACCAATTCTATTGGTTCAAAAAATACGCTGAATAAGCAAATTAGAGTTCCAGAATATTCTGAAGAAACTTTCTTAAAAATGTATTGCTTGAGTTGTAAAAGTAATAAATAAACCTTTGAGATTTCTATTGTAAATTGTTTTAAGAATATATTATCAAACAAAACTGATTAAATTAACATTTAAATTAATAAAAGAAATATATTATAATCTTTGATAAATTAACATTTGTCAAACAATAATCGTCATAATTACAATGTTACTTTCTATAAAATTTCGTAACATTTGAAAGTCCGTTTTTATTATTCGAAAATAGATATTTCATATTCGAACAAAATCCGGTTAACCGTAAAACCGGATAACCGGCGAAATCACTACATATATATATTAATGATGACACACCAATACTAAGTCTACTTTCCCCGATTATAAACTACCCTGTAAAACCTAATTAATTGCAAAATTAGGATTGAATCCTCTGAATTTTCTTTACATGCTTACACTTAAAAACTTTTCACTTAATAACATTTTTTTTGTCTTTATCAATTTTTTTTTTCCAAGAACAGTCTTTTTCTGATCATGTTGACCAAGCCCTTTTCTCTTCAATATTGCTGTCATTTTAATAAAAAGAAAATTATTTCTTAATTTTTTTTAAACCCAGACAGTTAAATATGTGACTGGTTTTTTTGATAACTCTAGCTTGTGTTCTGGCTTTCCCTTGTTCTTATTTAGATAATTATCTTATACCACATTTTTATAAATTTTGTCTCAAATTTTTGAGGAAAAAAAAACGAGACAAACATTTCATCTATTATGCACAGATCTAATATTATTACCATTCCTAAAAATAAGGCAGAACTATTTGAAAATAATTTTAACTCTAATTCTTCTCTTGAATCTAATGATCTCACACTTTTTGACAATAAACCTCTGACTATTAATTAATTCTTACCTACGGTTCAAACAATCCTCTTACAATTATTAGCAAGGTCTCTGGGTCTTAAGTTAACAATCTTCTAATATTTCAATCTTCTTATCTTGAGTCTTTGAGATAATTTCTGATAATCAGATTTCCTATTCTATATTGCTGTTTATTATAATAAGATAATGATTTTATTGTGCATTTGATAGATGATGATAGATGAGATGCAGTGTGAAAAAGCTATATATCTTGACATATCAAAAGCTGTCTGGCATGCCAACTATCAAAAACCTGCATCACTTTCAAAAAAACTTCTATTTATCTAATTAGTTAACAAATGAAAACATATATTAGTACAACTCTGCTATGTTAATCAAATATAAACTTTTTCTAAATCAAAAGTAACATGTCAAATTTTTTATAATTTTGTTATGTTTTTATAATGTTGTTATAAACATGAAGCATAAATATCTAAAATTTATAAATATTATAATTTAAGATCTTAAATAACTAAAATTTTAAATGTCATACTTTCAAGATCCTTCAGAGTAAGTGATTTAATATTCCTTCCTCGTAAAAGTATTGGAGTAAAACATTGTCCATCAAAGAACTCCAACTTCTTTAAAAAAGAAACAAGCCACCATATTGACCAATCACAATGAAGCTTGTTACCACTTAAATGCCTAAGGAAATTTGTTTAGTAACCTAGATATTCCCCACAATCATTTTAACAATAGTAGTTCTAATTAGTTGTTAAAACTAGCCTACTGGATTATTATATTACAATTTGGAAAACTAAAAATACTTACAACTTTTTAAGTTCCTGGTTATCTTTAAACACTGTCTCTTCTAATTTTGTAATATCATTGCCTCTTAAGTCACTAAAATTTGTTATAAAAAAATAACTAGTTCAGCAGTTTATCACATGAAAATGCATGCAACAGATTGCAATAAGTAAAAAATATATATAATAAAAGACAGAAAAGGTTTTTAATATCCATAACCTGCTTGAGTTGATTATTTTAAAAATTGTCTAAGTCAATACCGATTGTGTTAAAGTATAAAGTATCAGTAATGTTTTTTTATTAAAATAGTTGCTACTTAGTACTTGTTTAAACTAATTTGTAAATTCCTTATCACTGATTATCAAGTACTTCTACTATGAAAACATTACAATAAAAATCCTGAAAAAGTGTTATTGTAGCTACTTACTATTATTACAATCATCTTTTTATAAAACAGCAAAAACAAACAATGGAAAAAACTTCTGTTAAAATAGATTTAAACAAGTACTAGTTAACAAAAAGTAAATGTAAATAATAAACATAAGAAAGCATGTAATATTTTGTTTTATTTCATACAGTGTACGCAGAGGAGTTAGGTTAAAGAAGGCCTTGTCATCGATGTATGAGATACTGTTTCCATTCAACAAGCTAAAATTAATACAAATTAAAAATTCATTAGTACATTAGTAGTAGTTAATAAATTAGTAACATCAATTATTTGAATAAAAAAAAGTGATAGCTGAGCTTGAAAACCAGTTTATTTGATGGATGTAAACTTTAACCTCATATATAAATGCTTTAAATGTTTTATTTATATATAAGGTAAAATTTATAATTTTTAAAAAATAGAAAAATAAATCAGATTATGGTTTTAATTAAATATGGAAAAATAATATATGCCATCAATCACCTTTTTTAATTAGATATAAATTCAAATATTAATACATTAGTAAAAATTAATAAATTAGTATATTAGCAAAATTTAGTAAAATATGACTTGTGTATTATACCAATAAAAATTGGATTTTTTTAAATGTCAAAAGAATGGTTATTACAACAGTAGACAGGTATTTAAAATGAGTTTAGAAAAAAAGGTTAAAAAATGTAAATATAATATTTTTGCTAAATTTGAGTACTGAAAACAAGAGATGTCAAACAATTTTTCTTAAAATAAAAATTTAAAACTATTCTGAACATTGTGGAAGAATAACAAAAAAAAATTAGAGTTTTTTTGCACTCATAAATAAATTAGATGTTTTACTTTAGGGGTTGTCCATAAAAAACGTATGCTCATAGGGGCTAAAAGCCCTAAAATGCTTGTTCCCCCCTTGCCTAAACGTGAGAGCAATTATGTAGTAAAATTTACTATCTAAAACTAAATTTAAACTTATCGACAGATTTTTAATTTTGTAGAAAAATATTGTAAGTAACAAAAGTTATAACCATGCAAATTTTCCAACCCCCCTCATTTTGGAGGTCAGAAAATTTGAATGGTCATAATTTTTGCCACCCCTTATATACTGGCCCTGAGTAAGGTATTTCAGGCAACCTATTTTTTGAGTTGAGAAAAACAGGTTTTAGCAGATTTCAAAATTTTTGGCGTACATACTTTATGGACGACCCCTTACTACAAATTTAAAAAAATTATTACAAATTAGAATTACATTACTACAAATTAGAAAAAAATTAGTGAAGTTCCAAATTAATAAAAATTAACCTGTCAAAAGACACCAATAAATTAATACTAGTTTACATATAACTTTGTTTCTTTACTTTTATCATTCTACAGATTTCTATTTACAATAGGTGATATGATATGTGATATATTTACAATAAATAATGAAATTATAATTTTACATCTGCAAAATTAAATATATTACTTTATATATATTAAATTTTATCTTAACTTTTCTACTATACAGTTAAACTTTTCTAATACAATTCAAAGGATAGGCTTCACTAAAAACTTGTATTTTGGTACACTTTTGATAGTTTTATAAAGAGAACGCCAATTCTCAAATAAAGATAAAAATATATATATTAAAAATATATTTATACTTTAATTTTTTTTTTTAATTTGCAAATTTACAAGTTTCCTTCCCAAACTCAAAACTGAGTCTATATAATATGAACATAAAGTAAATAATAATAATTAATAAAAATATGAACAAAATGAAATATATTAATTACAATTTAGTAACCCTGGTTATAAAAATTTTTTTTTGTATATAAAAATTAAAAAATTAAAAACTTGGATTAAAACTTTTTATGGAAAATTATACTTTTTTAGATAGAAAAGATTTGTAAATAAAGTAAGTGGTTTGGTGCCGTGCTCCCCCCTCCCCCTTTCTCCTTGTGACCTTCTTAGTGAGCGAGGTAGTCAAGGGACAGTTTAAATTTGTACCTAACTCTTACATCTATTTCTTGATACCAAGTTATAAGCATTTAGATAAGAATTGATAAAGCTATAACAATTTAAGTGAATAAAAACTTAATTTGGGCCTCAGTTCCTTTAACAAATCCATATATCAAAAAATTGTTACTTAAAACTTCATGACTTTTTTTGAATTGTTGAATTTTAATAAATTTTTTTATTTTAAAAATACTGTATTAATATGTAAAAATATTGTATATATTCTCTTTCCAAAAAATTTTTTTTTGCATTGACCAATTATTCAGAAAAATTATTAGATCTGTGTAATTTTGAAATGCAAAATTTTCTTGGTTGTTTTTTTTATTATCTTATTACAGTAAATCTTTATAAGTATTTTAAGTATTGTCTATTCAAAAAATTATGTTGTTTACTTTTTTTTTTTCTTTTTCTTTAATTGATAATTTACACTCTGCAATTGAAAACATAAATATTAGTACTTAAAATTATGTGAACAACAACTTTGAAAGATAAACAGATGTTTGTTGTAATATAACTTACAGAATATTCAAACAAAGGGTTGAGCTTTTTTTTCCTCATTTATTGATCTTAAACAAAATATGGTTCGTTTTAATTTTGGTTTTAACAAGATTAGGCAAAAAAAAATAACCTAATTTTTTTAATTTATTTCTTCATTTTTTATTTAATGTTATTTTTCCTTTATGAAAACACTAATTCCAGCATATTGATAATTGAGATTTTAACTATTCAATAAAAACTATAAAAATCAATAAGACAAACTTATATTAAAAAAATCTTCTTCATGTTGGGCTAATATCAAATTTAGAAAATTTGATTAAAAAATATTTGCAAACATGTTGTTCCGTTTTTATTAAAATTTAGCGCATAAATTTAGAGCAAACTTCATAAACTCGATGAGATTTAATTAACTTACAGTTCCGATGTTAGCGATGAGATGTTTTCTGGAACGTTTTTGAATCCAAGGTTTGAGCAGTCTACCTGGTATATATAGCCGCCACGGATTTCTGGTACCCATTTGCTTTGGCATTCATTAATGTCTAATAAACTTACGTACAAAAGTCTTACTAATATTAAAAAAGTGATAAAATACATTGATGACACTATATTAGTAAAATTTGTTAAAAAATCTAGCTAGGAAAATCTAGCCGTCTTTTCTTCGGTGTTTTCCATGCAACCAGAATAAGATTTTCAAAGTCTCAAAACTTCAATGAGCATATCCACAAATTAGAAAAACGGACAATGTTTTATTAATTCCTTCTTCGTCTAATTTCTTTTAAAATATACTTCAAGTAATTTTAATTATTAATCATTGAATTTTTGCTATTGTTTACATTCGACGTTAACCATTTCATGAATTAAAACTACGTTTCTTGATCCGTTTTAAATTTTGAATTTTACTCTAAAAAAAAAAAATCAAAAGCATTTACAGTTGTTTGTTTATCAAAGTGACATTTTGTTAAAATGACGGTTACGCAGAAATAGTCTAAACAGTCTTCTACGTTTGTGATTATTGTAATACAAAAAGCGTTTGTCACAGGAAGTAAAAGCTTTGAATGTGTTAATAAATAAATAAATGAATATATATATATATATATATATATATATATATATATATATATATATATATATATACATATATATATATATATATATATAATATATATATATATATATACATATATATGTATATATATATATTATATATATATATATATATATATGTATATATATATATATATATATATATATATATATATATATATATATATATATATATATATATATATGTATATATATATATATATATATTATATATATATATATATATGCATATGTATATATACATAGAGAGAGTTATTTCCTTCTTATTTACATAAAACTATGATCTTTTTTGATCATAATTTTATAAAGTTAAGTGTATTATTCGTACCTTTATCTTTTGATCATTTAATGCCACTAATATAGTTTGAGTTATATCCTGTATTTAAAAAAGTTTATGTGAAGATCTTACATAGATCGATTAATATCAAAAATCGGTTAATGTAATCCATTGTTAATACTGCAATCGATGCTTTAGATTACCTTATTATAAAGCGAAAATTTCATTATTTTAAGTGTGGGGGGGGGGGGAATAATGCTGGTAGAAAATATGAATTAATAATAACAAACATAATACAAATAAAAAATTTATTTATTTTATTTAAATGATTAAATTAATTAAAAATAATACGTCTTGAAAAAAAGTAAATTTTGCATCATTAAATAGTATTGTAATTTTGAAATCTTACGAAATTAGAGCGCGCTTTCATTTAAGATCAAAAATGCTATTTCGACTACATTTAATAAATTTCGCAAACTTTTTTTGTTAACGCAGCATATCTTTAAAAGCCAATCATAAAGTTGATTTTGGCGGTTTAAAAGTACTCAATTAATAAGCAAATATTTTATTTAATTGAAGTAGCTTGAATACCGTCCAATAATAGGTTAAAGACTAATTAATGAGACAGATTTTCCGGAAAAATAACAAAAAATTGTGTATATTCACGATATCAAGACAAATTTACAAAAATTGTAAATTAAAACATTAGGAAACTTAATTAGTTTACTTGATAAATAACAAAAAAAAATTTATACAAAAAATAATTACAAAATCCAATCGTGCTTGAAATTTTTCAATCGTAGCTAATACGTTTATTGAAAAAACAAGAACTTACAAAACAACAAAATATCCGTCACATATTGACAAAAAGTCGCTTGCTTAACATTTTTTAAGATTAACTTTTAAAAATATATTTTTTTAAATTTTACTTACTCAAGATAATCTTCAAGCATTTAAGTAAAAGAATACTTTTCCGATTAAGAAAAGTGTAATTGGATAAAAATTTACTTTGACTGCTTGCAAACCCGGTTGTTTTAAAAGATAATCATTACTCTGTAACTAATTCAAGCGAATCAATATAGCAACAGGCCTTAAATAATTCAGATTAATCACAAATTTTGTTATATAAAACGTTTAAAGCGCATCAAATAAGAAGTAAAAAAAAAAAATGCGCTCGTCATTGTCTTTAATCTCCTAAAACTATCTGAATTGAAATTTCGCATGAAAGCTCGCATAAGCATTTTTTTTTTTTTTCTTTTTTTTGTGATACAGAAGAATATCGAAAAAACTAAGAGCTTTATTGAGAAGTGAAAAATTCGCATACGATTGCAGATTTTTGAAGAGAAAATGATTTACTTTACTGCTTTCGTTGCTTTAAAACGCTTTTACTTTGCTTACTTTTTCGTTGCTTTAAAACGCTTTAAAAGTTATCGTTTTTATTATAATAATATTTTTTATTGTTGTTGTTAATATTTTTGTTGTTGCACTAATTTTTATTATTTTTGTTTATTTTTATCATTTATATTGTTTTTTTTATAAATACGCTTTTTTTAAATATTTTAAGCTGTATTTATATTCTGATCATTTTAAAACAGTTTATAGTTTTTAGAAAATCTAAATCTACTTAATTTTCAAAATCATTCTTTTTTTTTTCTTGTTTCAAAAAATAACTTTCTTTACCGAAGTTTAGTTTTTAATTTAGGTTATACAAATTTAACAGCATTTATTAAGAAAAATGTACCAATGTTATTCAGGGGCGATTCTAGGAATAAAATGAGGATAGACGAAATCCCTATAAATTGCCGACTGCTTTCTAAAAAAAGTCCTCAAAACTACAACACTAACCCTCCCCCTCCCGTAAAATCACCCATGGTGTTATTCTCAGCAGTACGTAAACCAAAATATAGCGTATATATCATTACATTATAAATCCTTCTAAATTATGTTAGATAATGTTATCATGTAAATTACATTATGTTGTTTAGTAAATTATATAAAGTAAGCAATTAAAGTAGGTAAATATATAAAAGCATAAAGGCAAAGTTTACGAGTGCATTTCTATTTTTTGCTGACATAAACTTGTCATCCTATTTTAATTGTTCAGGCGATTAGAGCTATATGATCTTCTATATGATTCTTTGTTTGTATTTTTTACATAAATTTTGATTTTGTAAAATTTTTTTTTTTCTTTTTTCATTTTTTTTTTAATTTAAAATTTAGGTGTTTAAAATCCAAAATTCTACTTAAATATCTATTTTTTTGTTTTAAAGGTACACAAAAATGACTTGTTTTGTTTCAGAACACCGTTTTAAGACAAAAAAAATTTTATTAAAACCTTATGAGGAAGCTTCCTGCTTTGAGACAAAAAAACGTTTTATTAAAACCTTATGAGGTAGCTTCTTTCTTTTCTCATCGACGTTACTTTTATGACTGAAGCGTTCTAACTATTTTTAACCACACACCAACAAATTTAAAATTTTATTTCTGATATTTTTATTCCGTTAAAATTGATTCAGAGTTGATGTATTAATTTTTTATTATTAATAATTTATTTCAGATCACATAAATCCATAGAATAAAAAAATAAATATAACAAAAACCAAAATTAAAAATTAAAAATGGCACAAACAGCTCTTAACTGACATTTTGTCATAGGCTAAAGCAAGAGTTAGAATTTTGAATAAATGCAGAATGCAGAAATAGTGCCAAATAAATAGTGTCAGAAAGCAGAATAATGTCAAATGTTTATAAATCAAGTTAAAAGAACTAAATAGTAACACTACCCTAACTTCAACAACTCAAAAATTTATTTACATAGTTTATATATTCAGATTTGAGTTTCTATAACACAGTGATATCTTTGCCACAGACACTGTATAATGAAACGACAACAAAGTCAAACTTAATCAAATTGAAAAAAAAAATCTTTATTTAGAAGTTAAAAATTAAAGATTTTTAAAGCTCTCTTTTCTAAACATTTTTAGAAGGGAAGTTAGATAAAGCAATTCTGTAAATTATTCGGGGTGTAGATTGAATCCACTACATGATGACTACAAAGTTTGACTACATGACGACTAAAAAGTTTGACTACATGACCATGACTACATGAACACTACAAAGTTTTTACCCGCTGAAAATTTGCAGTGGGTAAAAACTTTGTAAAAATATTTAACATTGTTTAATCTTGTTATGAAACTTGATCTTTTACTTATAACCACAAAATACTTTTAAAACAATATATTATAATAAATAAAATGTGCATAAGATAAGTGGCGTCGCAACACACTTGGTTGCCCATAGAAAGAACTTATCCTTTCAACAATTTTTTCTACAATTTCTGCAACCTTATAATAAACTTGGTGACCCTCAATACTGTTACGGACTCACAAGGCTATCTGAACTACCATGTCTACCCTATCGAGACGCCTCTGGAAAAAATATACTTAAAAAATTAACTTAAAATTTACTTAAATATACTTAAAGTTTAACTTATGTATTATATTAAAGTTAAAATATACAAAGTCTTTTATATTATAGTCTTATATTTGTATAATATAGTATTATATTTATACTTACTATAGCCTTTTATTTACGTATATCGAAAAAATGCAACTAAGAAAAAAATAATAATAGCAACACTTTGTAAAAATGCTTTTTAAAACAAACAATTTTTATGAATTTCTTCATAATTCTTCAAAAATATTTATTTAATAACGTTTATAGCCATCTGATTTGAGTTATTTTTTAAAAAATTCATTTTTTTATCATAAAAAATGTTTTAAAATTTCTGTCAATAAACACTCCTTAAAAGCCTCGAGAGCTATACGAATCTGTTTTTTTAGAATAAATTAATTTTAAATATCTGTTATGAAGAGATTCAGATTTTTTTTTTATATTTTTCCTTATTAAAATTAATACACGACGTTTGTTTACAACTTGCTTTTATTCCTTTATAACTAGTTTTGGAATAATCACTGATCCGAATAATCCAAAACATCCGAATAAAGCAAAGTAACAGATTTTATACCATCTTTGCTATCATTATAATGAATTAGTGGAGAGTTTATTAGAATTTCAATCATTCTTCTACTTATGTAAATGTTTTAAGAAAAACGAGTCCATAAAATGATATAAAATGTTTCATTTGAGTTTTGAGTCTGATCGTGCAAACATATTCTAGAACGTGACGTAATTTATGGACAAACTCCTACAGCTCTTTTGATTATCTGCTTTTTGCAATACCATAACAATTCCGCATTGAGTTGTTTGCGCTATTAGTCAAATTTATTTTTCTATGTAGAGTATTTTTTCATTCTTTTATATTTTTCTACTATTTTTCTCAAGAGTGTACCGAGTTGTTTCGGCACATACGTGTTTATTATGACAATTATCATTAGAAAATGTGGCTTAAAAGCATGGTTGAAAACACCATTAGTATATATTATATATAAAAAATAAGCTTCACAAAATTCTTCATTTTTAGGATCTAGTTTGAGTTTAGCAACTTACACAAGGAGGAAGCTTTCAGAGGAGTGTACGCAAGAGAAGACTGAACAGCAGCAGAGTAAGAAGCTTTCAACAAATTAAACAACAAAAAGAAGCAAAGAAAAAATATCTTTTTTTAACCTGAATGAGCCTTTTCAGTTGATCATCTTCGGACGGGCCAAATCAATTAATTTTTCGGACGTTATCAAATCAATTAATTTAGCTGAGCGGAGCTAGTCATCACTTGGCTGCTCATGTATTGATTCAAGGTGATTTTAACTTTAGTTACAAAAAAAATGAAATATTTAAAAAAAAAAAATTTAACTTTAGTTACACAAAAAATGAAACATTTGAAAAGGCTCAGCAATCGCTCTCTTATACTTTGCGCACTTATACAGCTCAACAATTGCGCTTTTATACAAAACGAACATCCGTTTAACAAATTAAAAACTAAGCGATGTTTAAAAGAAAACTTTTCCACGCAAATGATCATTTTCGACACCCACCGCAGAAATTGAGAAGAAAGACCGTCAAGCACAGTGGACTTAATAATCACTAATGAATCTGACCGCATAGATAACCTAGATAAAGACGACTCACTTGGCTATGACCTTTTTTTGAAATTATGATTTTTGACAATGTACAAACGTCAGTATTTAAAGTTTAAAGCGCACGGCGTACGTGGTATACTCCTCGAGTTAATAACTGACTGGTTAAAAAATTGAAAGCAGAGAGTATTAGTCAAAACCAGATTATTTAGTTCAATCTTTTACCAAAATTGAAACTTTGGATTGGATTTAGGGATCATTATTGTTTTTAGTATATATTAATGATATGAATAGAGCTTCTCATAAAGTTCGTGATATATGCTGACAATGCAAATTTATTCTATAATCACTTCGATGTAAAAATAAACTTTGAAGCAATTAAGACTGAACTCAAAAGTTTTAACCAATGGTTCTAAGAAAATTTATTTAACAAAACTGTCAACCAATAAAAATGAAATAATTTTGCGACAACTGAGTTTTCAATTTCAACTAGAGGACCAAAAGCATGGAATAAAATACTCACAACTGAACTTAAAACTCTTACAATGTTAAATGAGTTAAAGGCTAAACTTAAACAATTAATACTAAAAAATGATTGACCACAAAACCTGCAAAATACCCTAGTATATTAATTTTAGAAAAGCTTGAGTTAAATGCACTTGGAAACTTTTAAATTTTATTTTTGTCTATTTTGTTTAATATGTGTTGTTATTCTTTTTATTTTTTGATCCTTAGACTTTAGTTTTGTGTTCTGAAAAACTAAAGTCTATTTAAAAAAAAAAAAAAAATTAGTTCATGATTTTTAAATAAATAAAAATCAAATATTTCTTATGATTTGCGTGTGTATTTTTTTTTTTATTATTATTATTTTTAATTTCTACGTTTTTTAGATATATATTATATATCTAAAAAAAATAAAAATAAAAATAAATACACTCACACAAATTATAATACAACTACAAATTATAATACAACAAAATTTTATCACAATAATATTTAAAATATTTGTGCATAAGAATTAAAATGTTTACCGGCAAATATTCGTTAAAATTCGGATTACGAAGTTTACGAAGGCGAAGTTGACTTCAGCTTCGGTGTCGAAGTTGAAACAGAAATTCGGTTTTCAGTTAAATTCGGTAACAATTACACAATTTCATTTAACTTTCAGTTAAATTTGAAAGCTATTAAATTTTTTACAATTTATAAAGAATAATAGTTATAAAAATATATTAAATATTTTATGTATATCAACCTGTTTCTCCGCGCAACGGCCGTGTTTGTCAAGGTTGAAAAGTATTTCGGAGTTAAAGAGTTGAGAGAGGTTGTAGCCAATTTAAGAAGTAGTTTTCTCGACTAAAGTAAAAAAAAAATAAAAAAAAAAATATATATATATAAAATTTATAAAAGTTCTAAAAAATTTCTGCTTCGATTGAGCTTTTAAAATTCCAACTCGGCTTTCAGTTAAACTTGGTTTAGAAAAAGTCGGCACAAAAGTTGACCGGCCTACCGGGAAATTTCACCGGTGTCCCGGTGGGCTAGTCCGACCCTGGTTCTATTATCAAATTTTCATAGTAAAAAATTTTTTTTCTGTTTTTAATTATAGTATTATTTTTGTATTTAAAATTATATAATTTTAAAATATCTTTTTATTATTATTTATATAACTTTAAAAATTGATAGTTTTTGTTTTTTGATTGTCAATTTCAACCTTATTTGATAAAGTCGTACAAGTAATTTCTCGTCAAACAATTTTGAAAATTATGTAATTAATAATGTAAGATTAATTATAAAATATAAATAACTTAAAAAACAAATACATTTTATCAATATAAACAACAACAACTGTAAAACATTTAAACAATTAAAAATCGAAAGTTAAATTAATTCGAGATAGAACGTTAAAAAATCGAGATAGAACCAACATCATCATCTTTAACAAATCTTTCATATTATATTCAACTAATGCTTCCTAAATTTAAAATTATTTTATATTATTTTTATTTTTTAATCTTTTCTTTTTTTTTAACTGAGTGTTACTTTTTCAGTTTTTTTTTTTTTTTGTCGTTATTAGATATATTTTAGCAGTATTTAAATATAATCTTTTGTAACGGAAGTATATTTTGCTTATATTATGATGTGAAAAAAATTTTAACTAATAGGTAGTTGTCAAAATAAATGTATAAAAAAAAATGTTAAAAGGGTGGAAGTCCAACTATGTAAACTTTCATGAAACTAAAAAAACTGCATTTTCCCCGTAGTAAATTTTTGTTAATGGTTTGTAATTTTTTTTTGAAGCGGATAATGTTTTTCACCTTCAAAAAAAAAAGTTATAGAACCATTAACAAAAATTTACTGCGGGTGAAAATGCAGTTTTTTCTATATTCCCGAAAGTTGACATTATTAGACTTCCCCCCTTTTAACATTCACTGATTTAATAGTTGTTTTATTTATTACGTTACCAATTTTACGTTTGTTTATTTTATATAGTTAACAGAAATGCTTATTTTTAAATTAAACTTTATCTTTACGGAATTTATCAAGGGGCTTGGCGATAAGACATATTAGTCTTTCTCTAGCCACTGCTACCTATATATCTTGTTAGTAACATACAGATTGTTTACATTTACACGGCAAAAAAAAAAAAAAAAGAAAAAAAAAAAAAAAAGCAAGAAAAACACACAAAGTTTTTAGGAGTTTTATTTGATGAAAATCTATCATGGAGAAACCATATTGTTCTCATTGAAACAAAAATATACTCTCTTATAAGTGTGTAATATAAATCAAGAGCCTTTCTTGATTATGGTGGGCCTAGTTTAATGGTTTCTGTTACACCTGTTCACAAACTCACATCAACGTATCAATTCAGTGTTGTGAAAGAAGCTGTTTTTATAGTTGAAAAAAATGGCGCCATTGTTTTAGGATCTGTAACAGATAATCATAAAATCAATCAGCAATATCGCAAAATTTTTAAAAGAATAAACTGATTATCAGGCTATTCATCCATTAGATGATCAGTGTGTATGGTTTCTTTTGTTTGACACAGTTCATTTTCTTAAATGTTTCTGTAGCAACTGAATACCTGAAAAGTGTCACAAGTTATCTCTTGACAATAAAACCATTGCTCCTTTTATGATGTCAAAAACCTATATCAATATGAAAAAGATAACATTTTAAAATCAGTTCCTATATCCATGCTTCTGTTTATCTTTCTTGACTTCAACTGAATGTTCATAATGTTAAAAGAATATTTAATGAACAGCTCTGAAACTAAAAGGAGCTCATGAAACATCCTCTTTTATTCAGCAGGTTTTAGATTGGTAGAATATTGTTAATGTTTCAGCAAAAGAGCAGAATGTTAGACTAAGAGACCACAACTGATCTGTGCGCGATAAAAGTTCGAATAATTTGCAATTATTTTTATAACTATTTAAATCTATGAAACTAGGGCATGGACCCAAACAAATCCAATGTGATATCCATGATAACAAAAAAGCCCTTGTGCAAACCACTGAATGATTGCTGTCTGCAAGCATTTGTTTTCACGTCTTACTTTGTGAGTTACAAAGTGACAGAAATGAAAAAGAGAATTTTTTGTTTACATACAATTAACAGGGACAAATGCTTTTATGGCAGCCGGGGATGTTTTTTTTTTGCTTTTAAAAAGCGTTTAACTCGATTTGCTGCAACGTTTCTAGAACTAGTGGAAGTCGAACATCACAATAAAAAAGATCGCATATGTGAAGATCTAATCAGTTTTAAAGATGCAACCTCAATGAAACTTGCAGTTATGATGTAAATCATTCAGAAACTGAAGAGAACTTTGCTGCCTATGTGGTAGAGTGGCTGTAGAAAAAATGTGAGGATGAACTAATTTATGCTGAGGATAAACCTATACTAATAAATGAAGCTAAAGACTTCATTGAAGAAGTTTCACAAGGATATTTGACAGTTCCTCATGAGTGTACTTATCAGATAGTTAGAATTGGGTTACGCTTTGTGAAAAATAACTAAATACAGAGCATGTCGTAGAAAAAGACTTATAAACATTCTGTCTATAATGGATACGTATTATGATTTTGGTTTATCTTCAAAAAATCTTTATAGGCGTTTGGCAAATTTTCTTTTGCATGGAATTCAGAATCTGGAAATATTTCCAGATTCTGTATTCCATTAATAGATCAAGAAAATATGTGTCTTTAGGGATCGCCCATAAAGTGCGTACGCTCGGAGAGGAAAAGGGGGTCTGCAAATGGCGTATATGAGATGGAAGGGCAGTGAGTCAATTATAAAAGAAAGAAGACACTAAATTAAAAAAATATCATAAAATATTAGATAAAGTGTGTGTGTGTGTGTGGGGATGGGGGGGGGGGGGGTTTAGGGGGGGGGGAGAACGACGAAAAAAAAGCGTAAGTACTTTATGGACGACCCCTTATCAAACATCAATTAAAAAAGCACGCTTTGCCGAGTAATATTCATTCATAGATAGACTTTAATAGCATGTTGTTAATTTGCTTATAGAATTTTATATACTGACTTTACATATATATATATATAAAGTGAAAATCACGTAGTTTTATTTTCTACTATATTATAGCTGACTTAGTTCATCGAGCACTTTCTTGATAGTATATGCACAAAACAGCTTAATATATACATATACACACATAAATAAATAAATATATATATAATGTAAAAATATTACTATAAAATCTTCTAAAGAATATTTGTATATTTTCTGCAGATAAACTTTTTTTATTTTTTTAAAAAGGCTTTCTTTTTGTTAATAAGTTTTTAATAATACTAACTTATATTCACTGTGAAATTATTTTAATATTGGTTTTACAAAACATTTTTTGGTTAAATTTAATTTTATAAGCGTCACAAAATCGAGTTTGCGCGTTCTGTATAATAGTCCTTTTCAAAATTCAATATTAAAAAAAAGTAAAAACCACAATGACACAAACAAGAGCCATGCGCAAGACTGAATGAGATCTACATATAAAATCGACGATAAATTTTCTATTTGTCACTTTTAACATATACAAATACAGAAATATAAATTAGTATCCAAGCATGAATAAAAACATCGAATTAAGAAAGACAAGTAAAGTGATTACATAAATTATTTTAAATTATGCCGTCCCGCAGCATAATTATGATTATTTTATTTTATCCACTGCATGTCTGCCTTAGATTTCAATGCTTATACGTCATGCAATAAAAAAACTACTTCATTTCATTCTATTAAACCCCTACTATGTGGAAAACAAAGAAAAGGAAGACTTTCAAAATAAAAGTATGGATTTAAAAACAATCCCACGCAAAAAATAAATACAAAAATGGAATGACAAGAAAGGCAAGTTCATATATAAGCGCACAATTTGCGTCAATTGCTCATAAAACTAACAAAGAATCGTTAAAAGAAAATGTTCATAATTAAAAGTAAAATGAAATTTTTTCAAAAATATTCATACATTTTTAAATAAAGAAATTTGAGATTTTATGATTGCTTTTTATAGATACTGAAAAATATCCTGCTCTATTGAATTTATACTAAATAGTAAACTATAACAAAAATTATGCTAAAAATTGCACAAAAATAATTTGCTAATATTTATTGATACCAAACAATCGAAACTTGTAAAATTCAGGAAATTTCGGAATGAGGGCCAAAGATAACGCCAGAAAGTTTATGACAAAATGTGTATAGTCATACTTTGAGTAGTGGCTCGCCAGAACAAATCTAAAATGATATTTAAATAAAATTAAATATCTGTCTTTAACAAACTGAGACCTGAATTTTAAGCATAAAAATTTAGCTATAAATATAAGTACTAATTTCATATAACCAAAACACAACAACCTGAGTATTACTGCCGTAAATTGGCAAAAAGAAGCATATTACATTATTACCATAATATGTGTTATGATGTTTTTCATGAGAGGAAGTATGTTGCTATAGTTTAAAGTAAATTCTCTGCACTGTGCAGAGATGTTTTTATGAGAGGAAGCATTTTGCTATAATAGCAACATGCTTCCTCTCATGAAAAACATCATAATACATTATGGTAATAATGTAACATGCTTTCTTTTGCCAATTTACGGCAGATTAGTAGCCAGTAACTTAAATAAAAGACTTAAATAATTAGTAATCAAATCTATAAGAAACGTTTATGGTTAATTGAATAAACTAGAAATTGACTATCGTGAATAAAAAGTTTGAATAAAAGTTTGACCGAATTTTTATTATCCAAAAAACCGCTTCTTTCAATAGTGCACAAAAAAAAAAAAAAAAAAAAAAAAATTACGGATTAATAACTCGATAAAGCAATTAATTCAGTTACTTTATATTCGTAAATACCGAATATAATATCTTATTTTTAGTTTTTTTAAAAAGTTTTTTTTCTCTTTGGTCTAATAATTTTCTCCTGAGGTATACTAGTTCGATATTACACCGAATGAATTCTTCTTTTATTAAGAACATTTCCAACATAAAAATCCTTTGCCTCTTTACGGTGAGGATGCAACAGGAACCGCTAATATCCTTTAAGCAAGGCTTTAGAGATTTTTTGCTTTGAATTTTCCAATACTTAGGAAAATCAGTAACTGGAGGGCAACTTGCAGTAATATGCAATAAATGCGGTATATAAATCCACAACATTTTTAGAAATACAGCACACAACTTTTTTATCTTTGCAGCAACCTTGTTTGTAAAGATTTGTGTTTAAAATTTTCTAATCACAAATGAGTTAACAAAACTAAGAATTTCCAACTTAAAATAAATTTATAAAAAACTGTCCATTTATACCTCCCAAAGATCATCTAAGACATTTAAAAAATTTTGTAAAATATTTTTTCTTTAATATTAGAAAAAAGCCCCATTATGAGAGGCAAAAAAAAACCCGTTGTGAAAGGTTTTTATTTATAAAAATTTAGCATTGGAAACATCTAAACAACCAAACATACAACTAAAAGTAATGCTAAATATTAATAACATTCTTTATACAGGGTGTATGCCAATATTTTTGGGTGCATTTCCTTGATTTTTTTCTGATCCATTACCTGTTTACCCTAATTTAATTAAAGTTACCTTGATTATTCCATGATTATTTTTTTTTGCAAATTTCTATATTCCTTAACTTTTCCCTGTTTTCCCTGATATGGCAGACAGCCTGATAAAAAGCTTTAAGAATGAGATTTGCCTAACTTAACTTTATACTTTACTACTGTCAAATAAATAAGTTGAATGCTTTGTTTGTTATGAAACATGCTGCATGCTCATGAACTTACACTATCATTGATTATTGAAATAACAATTTTATAAAAATTGCACATAAAAATATTTACAAAAGCATGAACTAAACATTACAAAATATATTATTTATATTACATTTTAAATATACGATGCTCAATAAATCAAGAAAATTTAAGCTTTTATTGTTATTATTATGATTTTAATGTAATTCACCTCCTCAAGGCTGAAAAGGCCACTACAATCGAGGAGACTACTTTAGTTGTGTTTACAACCCTCTCTTAACTCTGTAACTTCTAAACATGAACCTTGAGGAACAAGGTTCTTAAGTGTAGTACTACCAGGACATGGCGGAGATCAAACTCGGAACTTTTTGCTTATGATGCAAGCGCTCTACCACTACACCACTACCAAAGAACTATCATACAACTGCATTTGCTTAACTAACGGAATGAGAATAAACAAAAAATTTAGCATAAATAATAAAAAGATTAGGCAAACCCATTTATGTCTGATTTTATATATGTATATATATATATATATATATATATATATATATATATATATATATATATATATATATATATATATATATATATATATATATATATATATTTAAACAAAGAAAAAAAAACTTTTTCTATGGTACTTTAAGTTTCATGCCTATACGGCAATCATCAGCCATTGAATACAAAATCAAAAACAAAAAACCCGCTAAAAATTACAAAACACTGTGTAGTGGGATCTTAATGTCGCTAAGACATACTTGATGGCAACCAAAGAAAAAACAAAATATTAGCTAATCACCAGTGTCAAAAAAAGATAATAAGAATTTACTCTTGTGTCTGCATTTTGAAATCAACTCAATTCTTTTATTTAATAAGTTATCACCTTTACTCTTGAGTGCCGAATACAATGGGGGGTGGGAATAAACGGGTGGGTGGGAATTTTAGTCAAAATCTAATAAACGGGGGGGGGGGGGTTAATAAAGGAGGTGGGGAGATTTTTTTAAATTTAATAAACGAGGGGAGGGGGGGCATGTTCAATGCCACACACCCCTTCCTCCTCTGTTTTTTAATTTAATAAACGAGGCGGGGGGGGGGGGGGGGGGGGGGGGGATTAATAAAGGAGGTGGGGAGATTTTTTTAAATTTAATAAACGGGGGGAGGGGGCATGTTCAATGCCACCCCCCCTTCCTTCTCTGTTTATTCGGCATGCAAATTATGCATGTTCAAGTCAAATGCGCATTTGACTTGCGGCCAAAAGCACATTTTCTAACAGCTGTTATGGTAGGGTTAGGCTGTTTTATCATAATTTTAATAGGATTTAATATGCTGATATAAGTTTTATACTTTGTAAAGTATAAAACTTATATACAGCATATTAAATCCTATAATTAAAACCAAAGCTTTGTTGAGAAATAAACTAAAAGTTCATTTTTAGCAAATCGAGATTTAATAGGTCGACAATTTGTAAAACCTGTTTACACTGAAAGTTTTTGTTTTTATCGGTGACTGAAAATTGTTTTCAAATTTTTAAGGCCGATTTTCACTGAATTTTTTTTTTTTACTTTTGAGGTATAATTTTGTTGACAAGTAAAAACTAATAAACGGGTGGGTCTTAATAAGCTTAGGGTGGGTGGGAAAAGTATTCAAAAATTATTAAACGGGGGGAGGAGGGGGGAGGGATGTTTATTAGGAACTCGAGAGTATATGTTAAAATATGGAAGTTTTCGAATAAGCAAAGGTTGCAAATTTTTGATGAGGCGTTATAAGTATTGCAACATTTTACAATTTTCCACTTAATTAAGGGTGTAAACATTTTGTCTTTTATGTCCCATGTTTCTTTAGACAGCTCGGTATCATTTTTATATTTATTAATGTTAAAAGATTTTAGGTGATTCGCATACCAAGATTTGAATGGAGTTTTACATAAGCCAAAATATACTTTTTCTTTGTAGTCAGGTTTATTTGACGACACAGTGGCTTGATAAACAATGTTTTTTGTCAAGCACTGATTGTTCATGGGACAGATGGATTTGTTGACACAGTTGCATGTTTTTCCCTCATCTTTACCTTGGCTATATAATATCCTATGGTTATGCGAATTAATGATAGACTTAATATTTTGCATACATGAGAAGCTTATTTTAATGATATTTCGATTGAATATCTTACGAAGTTTGTGACCAACCAGAAAATGCAGGTCTACCATGTTCAAGAAACAACTGCATATTCATGTTGCAACATTGGTATTGAAAGGTGGGTTGTACCAGATTATGTTTCACTTGTGATTTTTAAATTTGATTGGCTTTTTATTTGAATGGTAAGCGAATTTTCAGATAAAACCTGATTTAGATAATGCATGTTTAAAATTTTTAAGCATACTTAGAGGGTGGCTAGAGTCAGCATTTATATAACTGATGAAATTACCAGGTTTGCAGTAAGGTTGGAAAGAACTGTCATTAAGATTTATCGTTAAGTCCAGATAATTAACAATTTTAAAACTACAGCTGATAGATATATAAAGATCATTATTTTTAATTTTTTCCATCTGTTGACCGCTTTGGTTCTTAAACACTGCTAGACCATCATCTCTATACAACCCAAATTCATCTTTATTGTAAGATTGCGATAATTGAAACAAAATAAATATTCCACCTAACTCACAAACTTCTGTGCCATCAAAGGCTCCCATGGTTACATCAAATAAACCTCCACTTTTTTAAATCCAGGCTTCACCATTGTTGAATAATAATGATTTTCTGGTAATTATATAACGATTATGTGGCAATTATATAACGATTTTATATGTATATGTGTATATATATATATATACATATATATATATATATATATATACATATATATATATATATATATATATATATATATATATATATATATATATATATATATATATATATATATATACATATATATATATATATATATATATATATGTATATATATATATATATATACATATATATATATATATATATGTATATATATATATATATATATATACATATATATATATATATATATATACATATATATATATATATATATATGTATATATATATATATATATATATATGTATATATATATATATATGTATATATATGTATATATATATATACACCACGTCCCTGGAAGTACCGCGCTTAACTTAATTTTTCCGCGCATCGACCTTGCTTGTCAAGATTCGTGTTTTGGAGTTAAAGAGTTAAGGGAGGGTTGTACCACAATTTACAAAAAAAAATAAAAAAAAAATAGTAACCTCCTCAACTGTAGTGGCCCCTCGGGCCTTGGGAGGTGAATAATTAAAAAAAATTTTTTTTTAAATATTATATATATATATATATATATATATATATATATATATATATATATATATATATATATATATATATATATATATAGTATATATATATATATATATATATATATATATATATATATATATATATATATATATATATATA